TATCACAAAGTTTGACTCAGTCAAAACTTAGAGGGAAATTTTACCCATCAGCTCATGTGACTGCAAGAAATATAAAGATGCCAATAATCACTTTCTGTACTGTTAGACTGTTTTGGTCAGAAATATCACTTAGATGTCCTTTAATTCCAACATAAAGCTTCAGACCTGCTGAAACAGTGCTCATGAGTGCAACTTCATGAATGATTAGGATTAATTTGTGTGAGCAACTGACTCAAATGGCACAAAAGGTTACGTATCACATTCACAATCGTCGCTTTGAGCTAAACATTTTCATCCACAATGTACGAATCTGGGTCTTGCTGATCTGCTCTATATCTGGCTAAACCGCTTGCTTTCCCTGCAGGCAGGATCTTTCAATCTTCTTTTCTAACATCTTTCTATATTCCACTGTCCATTAACAACACCTTCTATTTAATCATCTCCCTCACTTCCCATCCTCGAATCAGAGTTCCCTCACTGTCAGGATTAAATTTATCAAGCCTCTGTGCCGGCCATTGAATACACCTCAACTCCAGAAGTCCTATTCCCATTAGAGGGGAATGGAGGGAGAGATGAAAAGTAAAGTGTTAGAAAAATACAAGGATGGTGATGGGTTTGTTGAGTGCTGCTCCTACATCTGGTGGAATGAGGATAGATCATGTGCGTGGTTGGAATTACATCTGTCTGCTAATCTCTGCCTAAACCAACTCACAAACAACATACAAAACAATGCCAGTGTGTAATAAAATACTATACAAATACAACCTCTGGACCTTAAATGTTTAATTATGTTTGGCAGTGGTTGTAAAAGAGATTGATTACATTTCACTCCTAAACCAAGCACTATATTTGCTCTTCTAAAAGATACTCCTGTAATGTATTTTCTGGGTTCTAATCTCTCCTTAAGATCAGGGACAAAAGGAGGGAATACCAAAAAGGAAAAGCAAGCAAAGCACCATGGATACAAGACAGGCCAGACAGCCAACTGCTTGGATTCCTGACCAAAAGAAAAGCATCTCACTGAAGAACACAAAAATGTCAAATGTTAAATCTCAAATGTCAAGATTTAGAACCCAATATCTGATAAGCAATATACAGTGACATTTCAGAGAACCCCATAAAAACAGGGGCAGCTATTATTGCACTCCAAAAAGCTCATGATACAGCACTGGTTGGAATTCTAGCATTCCCACCAAGATTTTACAGAACTGAAAATCTCACAGACTCCTAAATTAGAAGTAAATGGTTCCAACACAAGTTCCACTTAGAAAAAATGTGCTCCAATTGTTTCTTTGGCTGGTGAATTGTTCTGCTTTTGAAAGGTTCTATATTAATCTTTTCCAAATGGGGAAACTCTCAATGTAAGGAACATAGAACTGCCTTCTACTTGTGGCATTTTATGTCTAGTGGATACCATTAGGAAAAAAATAATGTTAATGGTTTTAACGGTGGCTTAGTGGTTAGCACGTTCACCTCACACCCATTTCGATTCCCGCCAGGGCCATGTGTGTGCGGAGTTTGCATGTTCTCCCCGTGATGCGGGGGTTTCCTCCGGGTACTCCGGTTTCCTCCCCCAGTCCAAAGACATGCATGGTAGATTGATTGGCATGTCTAAAATGTCCGTAATGTATGAATGGGTGTGTGAGTGTGTGTGTGATTGTGCCCTGCGATGGACTGGCACCCTGTCCAGGGTGTACCCTGCCTTGTGCCTGGTGCTCCCTGGGATAGGCTACAGGTTCCCCGCGACCCTGAAGAAGGAATAAGCGATAGAAGATGGATAGATGGATGGATGGTTTTAGCGTGGTTTGTAATTGTATTTGCAGTGGTACTTAGTGTATTAATGTATAAAATGTATTAGAATTTCTGTGATGGTTTAAATTGTTTTTTTTTTGTTTTTTCCCCATAAGGGATTGGTGTTCTAAATTGTAGAATAAATATAATTGTAGAATAAACTCAGGGCCATAGACTCAGCTACTTACAAATTGAGGTAATCATAATTCGCTCTTCTTCACCATTCTAAAGAAATGTACATATAATCCCATCCCAATAAGTTCCATTTAAATTCCGGATTGCAACACTACAAATTACGGAAAGGTTCAAGGGGGTCAAAATTAACGCAGGGCACAATTTTGTAAAATCATAATTTGGAAAATGTGTTCCCTTGCAGTGTTTTTATCTGTTTTTGCATTAAGACTGTACTGTACCTTTAATGCTGACAAATGTACACATTGATTGTTGTAGATGCAATGTTGGTCTACTAAACTTGATTATTATAAAAAAAATTTTGGTCTGACCCAGTTGACATTGGCTCATTACTCAAAATAAATGCTTTAGACTGTCCATGACTATAAATCCCTTGTTTAAGCACTGTCTCCGGTGGACTTAGAGCGTTAAAAAAGTGAGGGATGTTGAGGGATCAGAGAAAGACCGCAATGGAAAGAAGTATCCAGTAAGTGAAGAAAAAAAAGTTTCAGCGATTGTTTACTGCAGAGCTGAACTCAGTGACAGGTTTCAAATGAGCTGCGGTCTGACACGAGAGGAGCAGAGAAGCTTTGATATTTCCACAGCATTCACAAACAACAAGCTCGACACCAACTAACGATTCCCAGCTTTGAACAATGCACAAGAGAGACATTTTCTACAGCAAAAGAAATGCCATCCTTCCAGCACATTTCACACCACTGAGCACTGATAGACCAACCGAGACCCCCGTCTCTTTCAGAGAAATTATATTAAAGTACAGCTCAGGACTCAAACTGCTAGATAATCTTTCTTATAGTCATCTAGGGTTACTTTCAAACTGGTAATAAAAACCATCACAGTCTATAAATGAAATATTTGAACTTTTAAAAGAGAAAGAGAGCTTGTAAATGAATTTGAGCGGCAGACAGACAGTGCTAAGCTGTCACGGTCAGGTGCACTGATGATAAGATGGAAAGTCTCCAGCTAACTCGGCTGGTATGAGACACCTGCTGGAATCCGCAGGTTATCACATGACCCTGCCAGCAGGACATGGCAAAGAGATTATGGAAAAACATCTTTCATTCTTGCCTTCACTCTCCATTCCTCCACTGTAATTCAGCACCACTGGCGATCCTCTCAGGATCTGAACAATGTGTTTTGCAATTCCATATTTCAGAACATTTCATGAATGAAACACAAATTCAAACACAAAGGGGGTATGGTGAGAATTTGAAAGGTAAAGGTTTGACTGAATAAAAGACGCAGATTTTTCAGAAAATAAATAAATAAATGAAGAAAGTAGGTGAAATGCATGATGAGTGAGAGAGATAGTGCAAGAGAGGTACAGAAAGAAAGGGGAAAAAAAGTGAAGTGAAGAATAAAAACGAGAAGCAGAGACAGAAGATCATTACAAAACGTGGCTGGGAGAACTAGCCAGAGAGTCCGAACGGCCTCTGAGATTTACCACATCGCTTTAGAGCATATAGTGTCACCCAGAAAAAAAGCAAAAGGTTAAAGCCAACAAAAGCTCAGTTGGCTCTTCGATGTTAATGTTGTGTAAGTATAAACATTACTTGGCAGGGTTGAACAAACACTGACATTTATATGACCCAAACATGGCTAACAACAGTGTGGACTCTTAAACATGAGGTGGATTGTAAAACGTGTATAAAATCACTTTAATTTCTCCTTTTTTTTTTTTTTTTTGAAGGATCTAGTGCTTAGGAGTTCCTATTACACTCACTCAGATTGGCTCTTTCTGCAATGGAGCCCTACATAGGCTGCATTATCTCAAGGACTCTCAACATTTTGATCACAGCTATCACAGCTGCAAATCTATAGCAATATAAAACAATACGAAGGTCAAAGTTTAGGGTCAATGGTGCTTGTTAGTGATGTACAACTAATGGATATTGGTCCAATATCATGCTCGTTTACTCATACTCATAAACAATGAGATACCAGTGTATGTTGGCATGATAATAAACAGATGGCACAAAACTAACAGATCTGAATGTATTAAATGATTAATGATGGCATAAAAATAAAGCAGACTGAAACATGTGCTCTATGAAAATATCAGAATGAGGACCTACGACATCTTTCTATAATATGCGTAACCTGATAAAACATCGTAAAACGTAAAAATTAATCATGAGCAGTTAAATGCTAGCTGAATGGGGGTAGCAAATAACACTGCAGCAAACTGGATAGAAAAGCAATTTTTTTTTTTTTTTTTTTTTTTACATGTATCCCTGTCCTTATCAGATGAGTGAATATAACAGCTCTAAGCCAGTATATTGTTCCTGAGAATCAGACACTATCAATCATCCATCCATCTATTTTCCGAACTGCTTATCCTACACAGGCTCACGGCGGAGCCTGGAGCCTATCCCATGGAACTCTGGACACAAGGTGGGGAACACACATGAGGTAACAACCCATCAAAGGGCACAAGCGCACACACATTCACTTATCTAATTCATTTATAATCAAACAAAATTCACCCCAATCACCCTTGTTCAATTGAAATGATACAAATATCCTATGAGACCAAGTTGCTTAAGTGAGAACTATACCGTTCTACAGGGATCATCACCATCGGATAAAATAACAACAACTGACATTTCAGCAATATGGAGAATATAGAAAAGGGGTTGAGATTGAAGTCCACTGAAGTTGTTTAATGAGCAAACCAGAGGATAAGAATGGCAAGGAAAAATGTCCTTAAGAGGACATAAATAACAAACCTTGAGTTGAAGCATACTGTAAATGGATCCAATCGTCTTTGATACTTGGAGTTAAAAAACTCTCTTATCCAGCCATCCATCAATTTTCCACACTTCTTATCATACACAGGGTCATGGGGAAGCCTGGAAACTATCCCAGGGAACATAGGGCATAAGGTCAAGGACACCCTGGACACCCTGCCAACCCACGGTAGGGAACAATTCACACACTACAAACAATTTGGAAATGCCAGGAGTACCTAGAGGAAACCTAGAAACTCAGGGTGAACACACAAACTCCATGCACACAGGGCACAGATGGATTTTGAACCTCCAACCACAGAGGTGCGAGGCAAGCGTGCTAACCACTAAACTAAATGTGCCCTCCAAAATCAAATGAAAAAAAAAACAAAAAACAAATAAGCTTCACTAATAGTTACTGGTTTGCAGAAATGTACTCTATTCTAGAGCAGGAACTGAAAAAAACTAAAATATGCTCTAAGCTTCTGAAAGAGTTCCTGGAAAGGTTCCTCTGGTGAAAACACACCTTCAGAGATCTTGTCAACTTTACTGCACAGAAGTTCCGGTTTGTTGGTATTACAGAACTGAGCTGTCTATTACGTTTAAAAAAAAATCACTTTCACTTTATCTCCTATGCTCTTGCTCTCAAAGTTCATTTGACCAGAGGAGCGATGTAAGAAGACAAAGCATGTGTCTGAGAGACACCAAAGATGTGTGCCTCAGCTGTTTGATATTGAACTGCCATGACATGACAGATATTCACACACATTGTACGTATCGGTAAACACTGTGCAGAACACACTACAGGTGTCAAGAGACCACGTGAGAGAGAGAGAGAGAGAGAGAGAGAGATAGTCTCTTTGAATTAATGAACTCTTCTTGAGGCCACAGCTGCTCCTCTGTGTTCCTTTAATAGCCTCTACTAATCCATATGTTTATTACAACTACAGAATGGAAAAGGAAATACGCTCAATAAGAGGGGAGAAAATGGAGAGCCATGATCGTTTAGTAGCCTTTTTATTATCTACAGTGAATTAGAAAAACTCAGGTTGTATTATTTGGTGTAAAGAGGAAACATAATGTTAAAAGACTGGTTTCTGTCTGTGGGAAAGTAATACTGCAGTGTGTTTTTTTTGTGTGTGTGTGTGTGTGTGTGTGTGTGTGTGTGTGTGTGTTTCATGTTTTGACATTTATTACTGCTGTCACTTGGGCAGTGGATAGACACACACACATACATACACACATTGTTGTGTTAGTGTTCGGGCATGTCTTCACTTGTTCATAGCAAACACTATGACCTTTAAGCAGAAGTGTGTGTGTGTATGTGTGTGTGTGTGTGTGTGTGTGTGTTGTACTCTATCTAAAATAACATGCTGCAATATTTTTAGCCACTGTACTTCCTTAAACAAAATTGCATCTTCATTTGTGTAAGTGGATGTGATGTCCACCCAGAAATTCGAGGAAAGATCTGAGGACACAGTGGATTATTTGGTGTCTGATTGGGTCCAACCTACAGTATACATCCTCCCTCCAGCAATGCAGCACTGCTCATGCACGGCCCAAGTTATATACAGGGAGTGCAGGGAGAACAGGGCAAATAATAAATCTTCTCCTGAACCCAGAGGACACTTTGATTACAAAATTTTTATTTCTTGTCTTGTAATTCTCTTCATTTTTATTTTTATTTTTTCACTCTAAGTGCAGTCAGTCATGCTGTTGAAGTTACGCACGCACTGCTTCAGGCTGCACCGAGTTCAGCCGCATTGCGGCTCAGAATCTAATTCCACTCTGGGGCTTTTCTCAGGTGCACCCTCTCAGGAGCTGCTTTACTAGTCCAGGGCACCGTATCCTAATTATCATCAATTACAAGGGCTATGGGTACAGAGGAGAGGAGAGGAGAGGAGAGGAGAGGAGAGGAGAGGAGAGGAGAGGAGAAGACAAACGGTTACGCAGTCATTAAGAACAGTTCATGCACCAGCTGCTCATGTGTACTCAGGGGCTCTGCTTTTAATCTGATCCCTTTGGTTCCTACAGGCTAAGTGTAATGCAGCAGTGAAAGCATGAACTTGCACTAAAATGTACTTAGAGATCAAACTTATAGACATCCTACACGGCATATGTTGTGCTAATTCAAATTTGAGCCAATTATTTGTCTGAACACAAACAATTATAGATGTCGAAGAACCAAAATGAATAGTTAATTGGTAGTCGATTGGTTGCTTTACTCAGCTTTTAAATTTAGCTCACCACAGTGCTGAAGTGTCAGACCAATATAGATTGATGAAAGTAAATCTATTTGTTGAAATAAAAAAGATTTAGGGGGAAGGGCAGCCAAATCTCAAAGATTCATTCATTCAGGGTCAGGGTCATCCAGAGCCTATACCGGGAACACTGGGAGTGAAGCAGGAATACATCCTGAATAGAATGCCCATCTATCACAGTGTCTTAAAGATATTTTTGTTAAAGTATTATAGACAGATGTCTTTCTGAGGCTAAGCAGACATATTGCACAAATCATGTAGCCAGTGATCTCTGTGTTGGAGGTTTTATTGCCTTATAACATTGTGTGATATCAGGATGCAAGGAAGAACTGACGGCTTGAAGAGAATGTTGATGCAGTAATATTTTTATCCATGATGCCACAAATTCACAAATCCACGGTCCTAGGTTCAATCCTGAAATGTATGTGCCAGGGGTGTAACCTGGCCTCATCATTCAGGGCTGTAACCTCGAAGATTTTTTCTTTAGCCCCAAACAATTATCTACTTGGTGTGTTTCATCACTACGTAACTGAACATCAGTAAAAGAAGACGGCAGTGTTGTGATTTTATATCTTCAGTGAACGGATGCAAGTCCAATCAGATTGACAGTTTATTAAATAGTACACAGGTAAACTAATCCAAATCAAGAGGCAGAGATGTAAAAAACAGGCATAGGGTCAGGCGATATGCAAACAGAACAAACTAGGCAAAAGAAAAAAAAGCAGAAACTAGAACATGAGCAAGATTTAAACCAGAATGGCAATACACAAACGTTCAGCTTAGTAGGGTCAGGTAAGAACACACTGCACGAGACTTCCCTATGAGGGAGTGAGAATGCAGTCCTTATCTACAGAGTGGTGATTGTGTACTGGTGTGTGATTAGAAGTCAGGTGAGTGTGAACATGACAAAGTCTGTGTTGGTCGGCGGAGGTGTGTCCTGGGAAACCGAGTTCTCTGCAGGTGCAGGGATGGATCTGACATTTAAAAACCAGTAACATTTAAAATAAAACAAACAAACCGGTTCCTATAAAAATGAGAAAACAGACTTGGACAAAATGTGATTAAGTTGAAATATTTCAATAATTATAAAAAGTAAAAAAAAAAGTGAGATTAATCGAATCCTGCAATTACGGAAATGGTTTTTAAATAAGATAATTATGAATTATTAATTAATTAATAATAATTAATAACAGTAAAAAGTAATAAAGGAATTCCTCACAAACAAATAAATAAATAAATAAACCCTGCAAAATTAAATGTTGGGAAATCAGCACAGTGGGAAGCAGCTGTTTGTAGATGTTGTGTGTTTGTTTTGTTTTTTTGTTTTTTTTTGCCTCATTTAGCAAAATTAGTCTGCCATCTGGAATATAGTATAATCTGCTCCTTTAAATAGACTACAATCAATTCACTTTGTGCAGCAGTGCTCTCGTTACCACAGGGTGCACCCATCCTCTGTGTGATACATATTCATCCCTTTATGGGAAAAGTCACATACATTTCACATGATTGTGTGAGTAATATGTAATCGGTTCAATTCTCGGCCCACATGACTCCACATGCCGAAGTGTCCTTGGGTAAGACACTGAACCCCAAGTTACCATTGGTGTGTGAGAGTGTGTGTGTGTGAATGGGTGAATGAGACACAGTGTAAAGCGCTTTGGACTGCTAAGGTTAAACAAAGCGCTATATAAGTGCAGACCAGACCAAAATATATTATGCCCTGAAAATTACACATGTTGACTCCAGCACACATCTGACATCATGTGATGGTTTAAACTACATGTTCTACATATGTAAAAAATAAAATAAATAAATACATTGTGCCTGTTGCTTTCTCCCTGGCTAGTGTGAACATAATTTCAAATTTCACTCGTGCCTACGTCAGGATCAATTCTTTCCTCCATAGTCCTCATAGATCAGTGAAGTCCATGAGGTCACCAAGTCCCATTCAGGCTCATTCTGTTTGAATCGGAAATTTCTAGCATTTTCGTGCATGCGATAATAATAATCATGATAATGAGTCTTTATTGGTCACATACAAATTACAGCACAGAAAAATTGTTTTCTTCACATACCCCAGCACATTTGGAAGCTGGTGTCAGAGCACAGGGTCAGCCATGATACAGCGCCCCTGGAACAGAGAGGGTTAAGGGCCTTGCTCAAGGGCCCAACAGTGGCAGCTTAGCAGTTCTGAGGATTGAACCCTTGACTTTCCGATCAGTAACTCAGAGCCTAGCAGTGCTGGGGCTTGAACCAGTAGTAATTTGTATTGGCTTTGCAGTGTAAAATAGACACTATTTTAAATGACACAAAATGGCCACAATTATTAGATTTTTTTTTTATTAGTCAAGCTGATTGTATTTTGCATTATTGTGCAGCACATTCATTGGGCAAACTGTGCAGCTAAATACAACATGAATTGTTCAGTGAAATGTATTTGCAAATTAAGTTCTAAATCTGACTAATTCACCCTTTCAGAGAGGTAATTGCTTTTTCAAGGAGAACAAAGTTGTGCTAATGTGTTATCAGCATTGTGTCGCACATGGATAGCACAAAAGTATTACAAAAGTAAGCTTAATTATAGTTTATTTTATCGCTGTTGTGTTGTGTAAGCATAATTTTGCTAAGAGCTCTCAAGTCTATCAGCCATGCTCAGACCTTGATTGCAATAGTTTCGAATTTGTGTTAAATAAATAAACAAAACTGTATTGAGACATCCTTAACAACTGCATTTAGACGTGCCTGGTATCCATGGTAATTACATACATGCTACTGTATGTAGATAACAGATAAACATTACATAGGAGAACACTGGAGTATTCCTGTAAGCTTTATCCAGTGATTCACATGGCATATAACACATTCCAAAACATATGAACCTGAAAAAAGTGAACGTGAAAACACAAACACACAGACACACACACGCACACACACACACACATACACACACACACACACACACATGCTAGGCAGAACAATAATAGGGGAGTGTGCCTGCTTCTTATCATATTCTGAAGCGTTTGCCTGTTACAGGATCAATAGTTTGACCTTTAGTGATAAGTCTGCTTGAGTCTGCTTAGAGAGTGAATTCAGCTCTTTCAGC